TGAAGTTAAACTGTAATGTTAGAATTACTAAGAGGCAGGAACTGACAGATGAATGATATGACTAAATATCTTTGAAATCACACTTGGAATATGTAGGACCTTTATTCAGTGGTAATTGTCAGGAAAGTCTGTTTTTCATGAAGTTTTGCTTCTGAACACTCCTCAGTCTGTCACCACATATTTTGAAGTCTGATTATTTTTGCATATAGAGGACATGATAATGCAGACACCTCTTGGTTCTATCTCCAGTATGGCATTATATTTTCCTCTTCTGTTTTGGACTGAAAACTCCTAAAGCAAGCTCATACAAATGCCCATAGTGATGGTCACTCAGCTGGGAAGGGAGACAGTCTTGTCTCTTTTTTGGCTTGGCTTATCAAGCCTTTGAAGGACCTCATTGGAGTGATGTCCCAGATCTGTCTCATATGTAACAATTTAAGACTTGGAATAAACTGGGAGAAGAATCACAAACACCCACTGAAAAGTTTCTATTCATAGGACCTATTCTGGGCTTAAATGCCATTGCAGGGCAAGTTTAAAAACAAAAAAGGCAACTATTATTCAGCTTCCTCTTTCCAAAGTAACATTTCACATTCCTTCTGAAGTTAATAAGGCTGTGGTATTCTTCAGGGTTTTGGAAACTTAATACACAGACAGGTGTATTCTGCAAATTTTTATCTGAGTGTTAAGCTTGAAAAGAACATATACACATCAGCATTCTGAACTGGATGTGCAGTAGTGGCTGCTGGTTTAACTCCTGCAAACATGTTTACCTGCTAAGTTGACAAAAACATGTTTCTAAATGATGGAGACCTGTTAAAGATGCCGTTTAGATGGAGAATTTCAGCTCACAGTGTTTTGAGTTTATAAACCCCTTTGCCTGAAAGAATGGTGCAAATGATTTTTTGGCAGGTCAGGAGCATGCAGGAACAAGCAGTACATTTTTTGGCTACTCTGAAAAATGGCTTGGATGGTCATCTGATACTTCAAGGGAGCAAGAACTGCAGAGCCAAAGAGCTTCCTCGGTGCTGATGGATGCATTTTGCACCAGACATCAGTTGTTCTCAAACTAGTGCTCAAATTTCATTTGCCTTATAGAAATTGCTTATAAAATTACTATTCCTTGAGTAAGAAATAATTACAGGCATTACATTAGAGCTCTGTGCTAGTATGGGGTAATCTTAAACCGGCATCCAAGCCGTTCTGCAGAGCTCTTTATCATTTTGGAATTCTGTGTACCCTTTGAAGACCTTACAGACTACTATTATGCAGAAAACAGGATAAAATAAGTTTCTTAGATTTAAGTAATTCTAATGATAAGAAGTGCATTTTCAAAACAATTGGTTTGTATTACATATCCCAGAAGTGTACCAGCTCAGGCTTCTGGGGAAGGGCCCCTAAGCTTGAGTCCCACCAGCTTGACAGGTGCCTGCAGTGGTATTTGAGGGACATGCTCTGTCTGCAGACTTATGAAGCCTTTTCCCCTTTGGCTTGGCAGTCTGAACAGTTGGTACATTTGTCAAGTTAGACCTTCACTACTCATTTCATTGAAAGCTCCTGGCCTTGTTGCTTATGAGGTTGCTGTTTCCTAACCTGTGTTGGATACAGGTGGAACACATGGATCAATGAAATTGGTACTACTTGTGTTCCCTCAAGAATAGTTGGCAAGTGCTGAACTGAAGCATTAAGTCTCTATCAAAGTCTCATAGTGTGGTTTTTTGATGCTATATAACTCTTGTTTCTCTCTATCCAATAGCGCTCAGGGAGCTTTCTTATATTGAGACAACAAAATTAGTCTTGCTCACTAATTGAAGATCATAATGATGTGGGTATTTTTATTATGCATGTGGGAGCCATACATAAAGATAGGTTATTGTCAAGTAAACATTCAAACAAAGCCTGAAATAAAGAAAATTAATTTTAGGTAGTGTTTTTGTAAGGATGAAACCAGTTATTTTCACTCAGAACACTTTTGAGGAAACATGGAAATGGTGAACTCTGACTGTAGGAGCTTTTATGTGATAATACAAAATACAGACTAATGAATTGGCAATGAGAAGTGATAGGTAGTTAAGGCCATATTCTTCTAATTAATGGCTTAGTCATTGTGTTAATACATTATTTTTTGTGTTTTGAAATGTTAATTCAACCTTCAATTTGAGTCAGAGCAATAATTAAGTGTGGATATGTTTCTGTAGAGCTCAAAAGTAGACTTGGAAATCTTCTGTTTCATATGTTTCTCCATATGAGAACATACTGTATGTTCATATTTCAGAAAGATTTATGCTAACAACTTTTTTTAAAGCTTTTGGGCACAAATAATTGTTTTGAACAAGTGAAACCATTACAGTTTAATCTCAGGATTTAGTCAGCATAATATGTGAGAATATATTTTAATTTTATAAGTTTAAACAGTGTATTTTTAAGCTTGTGGGCAGGCAAATGTGTAAAAATTTCATCTTTGTATGAAGGCCAAAATAATTTTCTAGTGCAACCAATTTATTTATCTACAGCTACAAATATATGGCTGAAAGATTCAGATGTTTTATTTGGTCTTCATCAACAATGTAGATGTAATTGCCTGAAGTTACTTAAGCTTTCTCTTCCTTATTGTATCTTACTGATGGAATCCTTTGTGGATGTGTAGCCTGTATCCTCCTCTTATTGATTCTTCTATGCCCATGGCACATTAGAGCTTATATTTTCTGCATCACAAAAAGCTATTTCTGCAACATTCACGAACTGCTTTTGGCTCTTTGACTTTATTTGTTGTCATGAAATTGCCATGCATTTGGCTGTGTGTTATTTCAGTGAGAAATTATGTTATTACAATGTGATTAGAGGTATGGAAGTAAGATGGATTGTTGTTCCAAAGTGCATGGAAAAGGTTGTTTTGTGGGATAGGAACATTGTTGTGTTTGGCAGAGACAGCACTCTGTGCCTGAGTTCCTTCCCCTTGCAAGTGTTCCACGTGTGCTGTTTGAGTATGAGCTCAGTTGTGCTCTGCCCTGTTTGTTCAGTCAGGAGCCCATTTACTGGGACCCCCAGCCAGCAGAAGGGACATAAAGGGGTTTTAGCTTCCTCTGTCAGCCTTTCTACGTAGGGCTACCTTTGGATATTCTTGCAACAAAAACATAATCTAACTTAGACTATTCTAACAAAGGAGGTACATTTCTGGTTTCTTTACACTCTTTGTTTCTTTTTTTTGTGACAATTAAGTTCAGGGTTGGATTTTTTTCCTTTGGTCCTGCCCATATTGCTGCACTCACATGCAGAAGATGACCTGCAGTGGGAAATCATGTCTAAGGCTATTTGGTGAAAAATTTTAGGTCACAGCACACAATGGAAAGAAAACTATGCTTATTAATGTGGAAATACTGTCATTGGTAATCCTTGGAGAGTCTACCAACAACGAGGTCCTCATGCAAATGAAGTTTATTTTGAGGTTTATTGTGGGCTGAGTTACACATTTTTTTCTCCAGACATCTTGCCTTAGTTTTGGTTTCGTCAATCTGCACATTTATATAAAGAACACTGTCTCAGTATAATTCATGAAGTTACTAGTTTGTGAGCTGGAAGTGTGGATGCAGTTTTACACTACACTAAACTTGCTACCTCAGGGGTGCTTATCAGGTAAACCAAAGGAAGTAAAAGGGAGATGACAAAAGGCTGCTACAGGTGAAAACTTAAGTGAACAGTTATGTCCTAAAGAGAGTTCTTTACAATACTGCTTAATGCAATATAAAATAGAAATGATGGCTATTGTTATTTTATTGAAGTTTTTTGCAAAGGCATGTTAGCTTATGCTACAAGAGCAGTGTAATTGCAGAGGGCATGTTTTGGATCAATTTCATCAATTTCTGTAATGCAATTTATTAAAAATACATGAATAGATTGACATCTTGCAGAGACCCCTGGACGTGTAAAAAGGGAAATAAAGTTTGAATCTTAGAGGGCTTGATTAAAAAACAAGCCCCAAACAACCCATTAAAAATTTTTGCATCTTAAATTTGTTAGCACACAACAAAGAACAACAGATTCTTTTTGTTGTTCTTAGGAGTTGTTCTCTCTCTAAGGAGACTATGACTGTATTTACCTCAGTTCTAAGGAAAAAGCTTTTTACTTGAACTCTTTTATGTGTTCCCATGTACAGTTGTTTGAAATGCTTTACCAAGGGTTCTTCATAATCAAGTGGATGCATAGTTTAGATTGTTTGTGATTTCACAACGCTAATGGGGAAAAATAGCAGTTTCTGATTTTATTGTGTTGAAGTTGGAGAGTATTCATGTATTTCTGTACTGTTTCTTTATAACATTTGGTAGACCATTAGGAATTTTACTCAGCAGGTTAAAGACCATTTGTTTGATGTGTCAAATAACCTTGAATTTTTAATGTTTGAAAATGAGGATTAAATATCCCAGAGCCATTCATTTTGTGGTCTGCTGACACTTCCTTGAAAAAGCTAGTGTAAATTGCAGATCAGCAAATTCCCTGCTGTTAATCTTACAACGTCCCTGGTTTTATAATTGCACCCAGCTGATTTCAAAATGGGCTTTCACATGCTCATTGGTGCAGTGCGAAAGCACCTTGCAGGAAGCGTTGGCTTTCTCTCCATCGGGCCGTGTAACGAGTCCCTTGCTGCACCATCTCGCCCCTCCCCTAAGCGAGCAGCACACAGCGAGCAGGGGCTCTGCTGGAGTTGCTCTGTTTTCATGGAGGAGATAGCAATCCTTGCACTGCAGCAGGTGGAGCTGCCTTGGATCGAACCCGGGCTTCTGGCTGAGAGCATCTGAGTGCTACTTTGGGCCGGGAGACAGTTGTCGCTTCAAGCTGGCGCTAACGTAATTAAATTTAAAGCTGACTCAAAAATTTTAAAAATGGACACGGGATTTTTGCTTTGCTTTTTTTATAAGGTCTGGTTTCTAACGTGAAGCAACATTTTTCCTGAAGGATTCAACCTATTTATATAAAGGCTTATTTTTGAACACTATGGACCTAGATTAAATGTCAAAGACAGGCAGCAAGCAGCGCTTACAGAGGCATTTTTCTGGAATCTCAGTCACGGATCGATTGAAGTGCACAGGGTCTGAAAAAATGTCTCCTAGCATAAAAAACTTGGATTGTTTTTCTCCGATGCTATGCCACTGTAAAGTAGCATGTACCAACAACACAATATCTTTAATGTTTGGATGTAAGGTGGGTCTATAAAAGGACTTTCCTGGAAATGTAAGCTGCATTTAATGAATGATTGCCTTTGTGTCTAATGTAACTGTACCTTAAATTTCTGGTTAAATAAGTGTGTGTTTTGTTCCGTGCCTTACTCAATTATCCGAGCTCTTAGTGATGGAGACATAAGTAATGAATTATCATGCCTACTGTTTAAAGATCCCTTTGAACAACATTTGGAATTTACTGAATGCCGCATGTAAAATGTCGTCATTCTTCATTAATCAGCATTAATCATCATGTAATCAGTTTATTGCACTTGGCTTTCATTTTCTTCAGCTGTAGAGAATTAAATACACAAGAGACTTGCACTGAGATACAGGGCTGGAAATGCCTCCTGACATCATTTTGATGGAAGGAATTGTTAGTGGCAGGTTTGGGTTTAACAGTGCCCTCGGGCATTTAGTCATTTTAGGACGACATCAACTGTTTAGGTTTCAGGAGAATAAAACATACATAATTTGGTAATCATCAGAATGGTAAACAGCTTATATTCAGTGTTGTGTCAAAAATCTTTTTTTAAAATTTCTTTTCAGTAAAATTAACACGCAATGTCAAGGATATGAGGAGACTGTTAAGTACTGGAAAGCCACTTGAAAATTAAAGGGATACATGTATGAAGTTACTTTTGAGGTAGAAATTAGGAAATCTTTGTCTCTAAAACTTTATTTATATATTCAGGGTTTCCAAGTCATATTTGTTATTTTTAACAAAGAATATTTCAACTAGATTTTATTTTATGAAGTGGGATCAGTTGTGTGTGTACATATATACTCACATATATGCATGTGTGATGCATTTATATACACATGTATATATACATATACGTATCACAAAATCTCGATGCTGAATAAATGTCAGGAGGGAGGAATTTAATTTTTATGGCTCTTTTGATAGTATAAATATTAGAGAACTTCAAGTTGAAGGCTTTGTTTCCAGGAAGAAGACTTTGCCTTGTTGTGAGTTTGCTTTTTCTTCCTGTGTCCCAAGCATTTTTCAGTTGGAAATATGTACCTATTTACTGATGCCATTTGGAAACTACTTGATATAACACTAAGATTTCTTTTCTTTTTCTTTTTGTGGAACTGCACACTCCTTATTTCTACAATATCCTCATGTTTAAACAGTGAACTTGGGAAGAAAGCCGTGGGATGAAAATACTCCGGGGCTGGATTTTGCCCGTTGAGCTGCAGAGCAGGGATGCTGTTCACTTTAAGAGCAAACTAAAAATATCCAGCGAGCGCGCAGGCAGCACTTGGGGCATGGAGCGGCGGGGCCGAGCGATGGCGGCGCCCCCCCCTTCCCCTCCCCTGCCCGGGCGGGGGCGGCCGCCGGGGGGCGCTGCAGGCGCCGTGTTCGCCTTCACGGCGTCCTTGGGCTGCGCGCCGGCCTCGGGCCCGGGGCACGGGCAGGGACAGGGCGGCCGCGGCCTCCCGAGCGGGGAGCGCTCCCCAGGGGCCTCCTGGAGTGCCCTGGGCTGTTGGTGCCCAGCCGAGGCACCTGCGGGTAAACACGGCTCGCTGCCCATCCCCGGTGCGTGCCCGCGCTCCCTGCGTGCTGCCTCCATCGTTCCTCTGCGCTGCCCGCATCCCAGAGAACGAAGGGTTTCTGTTTGAGCAGGGACAGAGAGATACTGCACCAGGCACTTGGCAAGTTTTGAATAAAAGTTGTAGGGCTGGATAGTACTAAAGATAAAATGTGCTTGTTCTCTGAGAAGATACAGCCTTTGTCATCTAAATATTTACTTAGTATTCAATGTGAAATAGTAATGCAGGGTACCTGTACCAGTCCTTCACGTAATGTAGCAATCTCACAGAAGGAATCACACAAAATAGTGTTTTCAATTTTCCCTTTTGGCCACATGAAAAGAACATTCACAACCTGAGGGTTCCTTCTTTATTCTCTTTTCCTCAGCCTTCTGGAATAGGTGAACTTTATTACAAATATTTCAGAGTTTTGGTAAATGTATATACTTATCTTCAACTGTTTTATTGTTTGTGGATGCCCATGACATGAAGCATTACATAAATAAGTTTAACAGTAGCTGTGCATTTTGACATATGATGGAACACTGTGACCTAAATAACCATGTTATGAGCACTTATATTCAAGATACAGTGTCAAACTGAAACTATTCAAGAAGGGTGAAATGCCTTATGTCTTTGTCATAGCTCTAGTTACTAGAGAAACTTAGTGCTTTTGTTTGAGAATGAAGCAGTTAGTTACTCAAAATACTGAACTTATGTTTGAAAAAGCAAACCCAAAGATCAAACACCTTCTTCCAATATTGCAGATCATTCAGTTTATCATTTGTTGATGCCTAAGTTGAAAATAATACTGAATGTCCTATTCCATGATCAGTGAAGAAGTTCTAAAAAGACAGGAACACTATAATCTTTTCTTATATTAAGTTTCTTTTGTTTTTAACAGCCTTTTAACTTACCAGTCTGAATTGCTGTTTACCTGCAAAGAGATTTTATTTGGCTTTCGTAGTCTTTTTTTTTTTTTTACAAATAAGAAGTTTTCAAGTTGGCTTCAGTTCTGCAATAGTGGAGCCTGCCTTTAGTTTTGTTTCCTTTTTTTCCTTTGGGTGGAAGGCACTACCATTTTTCTAAGCACTAGTCTCTAGTTTAGCACTAGACTACAGGAAAGACTTCTACAACATGCATTAGCATCTTTAATATATTATTAATTTTTGATTAGTTTTGTTTAGCAAAGTATGTAAAATTTTCTCTATTGTTGCTTTTGTTATTAGAGTTGTTGGAAGTTATTTTCTGCTGAATGGTGGCAAGAGTTGTGGAAGCTGGGGAGATGTGAGAGCTGTAGCTATTCAGTCCTCTCTACCTGTTTGTTTTTGACATTGCATCCAGGTCATTTTTTGCAGGAGTGGGGGTGTTGCATGTCAAACGGTGCTTCACAGTAACTTCAGTTGCTGGAATGATCCTTGGAAGGGTCCTTTCAGATTTAGTTTAACTGGTACAATGGAGAAATGATTAAAAAAAACAAGTGCTAAACTAGGGGAATTGTGTGCAAATGATCTAAAACTACTTGGTTTCATCATGCTGCCTATTCATACTGCCTCAGAAAGGGTGTGTCCATGTGAGCTCTGCATATTTATCAAATTCAAATTGTTAGATTTACTTATTCCAGTCTTCTTTTATTTTTAACCTCTTTGTAACCATGCTTGGACCTGTACAGTGAAAATGAAAACTTTCCCCAGGGACAGACTGTAAGTCAGACTGTGCTTTCCTGGGATTTGTTGCATTGTTGTTGGAAGTGAGCAGTGACTTGGGACTTGTATGGCTGGTGGGTGGGGAGGACTAAAGTCTGGAGAAGGAAGGGAGGTTGAAATATCTTCTTTTAAAAATACAGAGAAGAGACTAGGAAGACTCAAGTGAATCTCTTAGAATGGGTTTCCTAAAACTTTTCTGTGCTTTTCATATGAACAGGTGTTCTCTGTTTTGATAAATGGCGCTATAAAATGGACAGAAAATCCTTGTTTTTCCTGCATATTGTGTCAGATACTTTGTTTGTACTTATTTTTTGTCCAACTTTACTAGGCCTGAGAGTTGAAGCAAGGATGTTGTGGGCCTGAAAAATTATTTCACTGTGGTGAATTGGGTTCATTTCTGAGTTTCATCTCATGAAAACTAGCACTGATTTATTAAAGTAAATGGATTTTTCAGTAGTTTACACCAGTGAACATAGAGTTTGGTGACATTTCAAAACTTATTGAGGGTACAATTTATCCTGAGATTATCCTGTTAACTATGTTGCATCAGAAAAGAAATGTTTTAAATTAATTTTGACACACCTGTATTATGCAACAGAATCCTCTGGGGCAGTGTCTCTGTCAGAAGTATGTGTTAAATGTTTTTAAATCAAAGCTCAAGGTCTGCTAGGGATATTTAGGATCACAAGTACAGCCAAGTACAGCCTTCATTAGTGGAGCAGGCTGCTTTAAGCTCATTCAAGTCCTACATTCTGTGATGCTTCAAGACATTTTCTCTGCTTCTTGGAGCTCTAATGTTTATTTTCTCTAATTGCCAGTGTGGTCTAATTTATACTCTGGTAACGTACCCTTGTATTTTTGGCCAACACTTTGTTTAAATTATAATTCTTCCCTATTTCCAGTGTTTAATATGGCTGCTCTAGAGAGCTAATGTCAACTCCTTTCAGGGTTTTATTTTGATAAGTGAAAAACAAGTCAATCTCAGAAAAAAGATGAATGGCAGCAGTCTGGGGCTGAGCAACCCAGCATCTCACTGCTGCAGGGAAAGGAAAGAAAAAGAACTTTTATCTTCCAGTAGTAGTGAACTATTAAGTTAATAATCTCACACATCCTCTCTGGTTAATTTTGAAAAATTAGGGCTTTTTGAGTAACCAATGCAATTTTTCTCAACTGTCAGACTTCACCATCTCTCCTTTGGTAGATCCAACTGAGGAGAAGGTCTGAAAGTTTTTGGAGTTGGGTTCTTGTGGTAACAGAAGTTGTAATGCTCTTGCTTTCTTCTTAGGAGTTATTTCTTATGGAAGAAGTGGGTCTTGTGCTTCTCTGCTAATTAGTATTTTTAGAGAAAATACACTTGAATTGCTTCTACTTTACAGTTGGCTTAAGAGTGCGTTAAGGAGCTGATAACTGATAGATCATTTCAAGCAGTTTCTTTGTAGTTTATCCTGTATATCTTAACTTTGTAATGTTGTAGGTGTTTCTGATGGAGGGAATGGATCTTTGTGGTAACCTGAAATAGAAATTGCATGTAATTCTTGAGGGGGTTAGAAGTTCTGCACTGTTTGTCAGATACTGCCTTGCTGTAGTGTTCCTGTGCTTACAGAGAAATGGGTTATGTGCAGTTATCTACTGGGTTATGATATATAAAAGAATTACCAGGAAAATGTCTATTTTGACTTTGGCTGTAGTATGTAGATCTTGGAATTTTGTTTAAAAGAGACCCTAAAGAAATAGCTTCTATCTTAAATATGCTTCAATAACAGGAATAACTTTTTCCAAGATTAAAATTAGTAAGTGTTTAGAAAGTTTTTCTGTACCTTTAATAATATGACATGCTTTCTCTATAAACTATTAATAACTATTTATGTACTTGGGAGTATAGTAATGTGTGAAAGTGAATGTGCTTAGAAAATATTGGGATGTTTCTTATGGACACAGTGAACCCTGCTGGGGTTTAGGTAGCTTTATAGTAATCCCAGGTGGGACTAAAAGGGCTGGAACATTTTTGGATGGGACCAGTTTTAAAATAAAAATGCTAATTAAAATTTTTATTTATAGATTTTATTGCTTTGAAGTTAGCAAGGTCAGAAAAACAACTATTTCTGGCTGACTTAGGTTTTCTGGATTCTTTTCTCATTTCTGTGGTGAGTTCTGCTGATCTTTTCCTATAATTTTTTTTCAGAAATACCGCTATCAGGATGAAGACACACCCCCCCAGGAACACAGCTCTCCACACATTGCCAATGAGGTGACAGGTCCAGAGCTGGTTCATGTATCAGAGAAGAATCTGTCCCAGATTGAGAATGTCCATGGATTTGTTTCCCATTCTCATATTTCACCAGTAAAGGTAGGCATTTTCAAATAGTGAACTGTTTTGGAATGCTCCTCCGGAACTGAATTTTGTGGGACAAAAAAATGTGTGCAAAACACCTCTTTCTGTTTCTTATGGAACTGCTCAATTGTGAAATTTACTTAGTATACATTAAAGCATTGCCTTAGTTCCACACATTCTAACTAGAAGTGCATGGTAGTAAAATGACCAGAAAACAAATAAAGGTAACTAAAATTTTGGATGTAGTTTTGAGGGGCACTGAAGCTTGGGCTGTTGGTTTCATTTTGGATTTTCAGTTAGAAACCTGTAGATCAATCCTGACTTTGTTTCTAGTAAATATTTTAATTGAGGATCTATGTGCAATATGTCATAAGCCTAGTGCCATAGATGTCTCTGGAGTTTTTCAGCATGCAGCACCGTTATTTGCAAGATTGCTTCAGTTACTTGAAGACAGATTTAAAGATTTAGACAACAAACTGAGTGTGAGGTTTGGGAGGGGGTATTAACAGGCAGGTTTATGTACAGTGTTAGTACATGGACATAGCTCAATCATGTTCTGAATAGCACAGTGTTTTTGTGTGTCAGACTAAATGCTGTTTCCTATAACATCTCTGAGTCTTCATGGCTGGTTTTGAGGGAAAGGTAGAGAAACTATTTGATACTGGGGAGTGTTTGTGCTTTAGAGTGATGAGATGGGCTTACATTGTGGTGGGCTTACAGCTTGGTACTTTTAGCATGAATTGTTTGTGTGCTGTACAGTCCTTTGCAGCTGCAAAGAACAAATGCTGTTACATGAGAGCAGCCCTGGGGAGAAGAACCTGGGGGTGCTGCTGGATGAGAAGCTGGACATGACCCAACAATGTGCACTCATAGCCTAGAAAGCCAAACATGCTCTGGGCTGCATCCAAAGCTGAGTGGGCAGCAGGGGAGGGAGGGACAGAGGGGATTCTGCCCCTCTGCTCTGCTCTGCTGAGACCCCACCTGCAGTGCTGCATCCAGCTCTGGGATGGGTCCCTAACAAAAGGAGGACATGGACCTGTTGGAACAGGCCCAGAGGAGGGCACAAAGATGATCAGAATGCTGGAGCAACTCTCTTGTGGAGACAGGCTGAGAGAGTTGGGGCAGCTCATCAATGGAGAGCTTAGAACCCCATAAAGCAGCTGCAAAAAAGCTGCAGAGGGAATTTTTCCAAGGTCATGTAGTGGTAGGACAAGAGGGGGAATGGCTTCAAACTGAAAGAGGGTGGATTTAGATTAGGTATTATAAGAAATTCTTTCCTGTGAGTGCTGAGGCCCTGGCACAGGCTGCCCAGAGAAGGGGTGGCTGCCCCATCCCTGCAAGTGTTCAAGGCCAGGTTGGATGGGGCTTTGAGCAACCTGGTCTAGTGCAGGGTCTTTGAGCCTGTGGCAGGGAGTTTGATCTAGATGATCTTTAGGGCCCCTTCCAATCCAAACCATTCTATGATAAGAAAAAATGCTTTGAACCTAGCTATATTTCCATTTTTTTCAATTATGAAGAAAAATTTTGTTGAATGTATCACCTCTTTATCATTGACTTGTAAGGATTCTGTAGAAGAGCCAGCTGTAATGTGTGAGAGCATTTAGTAATTGTTTTCCAGCTTTTCTAAAAGTTTTAAAATGTATATGATGGTATTGAACCAGTGATCTTTACTTATATCTCCATAATGAACTCTCAGTATTTTTCCATAGTCTTCAGCTAGGCAAGCTGAATTCTTGAAGGCCTAATGAATAACCTTTTAGAAGTGGGCTATATTGCCCTCTGAAGAGCCTTCTGAGAATACTCATGTGACAAAGCTTTCATTTTTGGGAATGACTAGAGCTTCCAATTTTTCTTGCTTATGGAGTTAGACACACAGTAATGCACTTTCATGTGTCTAATTCCCTGAATTTACTGATGTTCAGAAAGCAATGGAACACCTTTTATGTGCAACCATTAGAAATAAATAAAAGTCCTCTTTGGGGGCTTAAGGACAACTCTGTTTATTCAAGCTTTTCCTAATTCCTAGAGCAGTAAGTCTTGCCTTTTAAAAAGCATAAGGGGATCAAAAAGGCAAAGAGGGGAGCTCTAAAACTGTCTAGAAGAAAGAAAACTATTTTTGAAATAGAATTAGGCAGAGTTAAGTATAGTTGCAAAATAGGGTGAGGCCTTTTCAAAATACTCTGTGTCTTAGGTCTCTGAGGAGGATTACCATTATGTATCTCACATTGCTAAATGCTGGGAAATTATCACTCAATAGGGAAAAATGTTCATAAGGGAAGTATTACCAGTCAGTTTGTATTACCATTTTAGCATATACATGACTATTTTCAGGTAACTCCTCTCTGTTAATTTCAAAGCAGTGTATGGTAAATTGAAATTGTTCAAAGCTTTGTTCATCTGAAAACTGATGGGGTGGGTGTTCAGTTGTTTTACCAGCATTTTGTATAATTTTGAATTCTGATGCTAATTGACTGCTGGCTTGCTTCTCTCCTGAAGAAAAAACCCAAGGTTGCTGTTGTATTATTAGCATAGCTGGTCTGCTCTGCTTTTGGTCTGATGATCTGCCAGGTGTTCATAGTTTCAGCACAGCTTGTGCTGAAGATCAATTTAGCAACAACAGCTCTGATTTAAGAGTGCTTTGTGTGATTTATTTGGTAGGTTGGCTTGGTGCACTGTGCAAGGACCAGGTCTTGGCTGATATACAAGGGCTCAATCAGCTTTCTTGAATAGTTTATTGATTAAGGAAACTAAACATAATAGAGAATGTTTTGTTTATGACATGAATAAAATAATAAGAGGAGTTTGTTTTTTTGTTTTAAATATAAATGTTAAATGCACTTAAAATTGCTAATACAGAGTTAGTAGTTTGAAGAAATCAGTGGTTTTATGATTATGATTAATTTATTATGTTGCTTTATAAGCAATGCTGCAGAGGCCAGTAGAATTGGATTTTGAGGAATACCTTCTGCTATAGCAAGGTCTCTTCAGTATGGAGCAATTATATAAAAGAACAGAAGAAGAACAGAATTTTCTTCATGAGAGAAGCTTTCAAATACTCTAGGACTTAAAACAGCTTTTATAACTTGCTTGAACAGGTGGATGCTATTTCAAAGAGTAGTTTTGAATGACCAAAAATACAAATGTGTATCCCAAATTTTTAGATGGATGAGTATGTGATTGCTATTTATCAAATATTAAGTATTATAGTAAATGAAGGTCATTTATCTTCTTGACAGAGGAATGGGCTACCTCCGATTCAGACTGGATTAAAATATTGCATGTTTGCAATAAGCATAAAATAAGAGAGACTAGCTGTACTGATTTCAAGTTTAAGTGAGGCTTACAGGTTTTGTCTTGTTAGAGAGGAGCTTTGTCATTTAAGAAGAAATGTTTCCTTCCTGTGTGTCAAGTGACAAAGAAGTGAACTTGGCCTGGGAGATTGCGTGTCCTCTGTTCTTTAGTACTGTGTGAAATGCAACGCTAGTGCTGTAAAAAAGCTTTAAAAAAGTACTTAATGGTTGAGAATCATGAAGAAATAGTGAAAACGGTCAAACTTCAAATCCTTCAGAGATATTCTGTCCCAAAGTTTTTGAAGAACCTGTTCAGGTAGGCCGGCACTGGTGCCAGGAATTGCTCAGTGCGGGGTTCCCATGGGGCTGCCGAGTTCCGGACGCTGCGCTCTGCGGATCGGCCGCGAGGTGGCGCTGCTGCCCCGGCTCTGCTGCGCCGGGAGCCTCATTTAGCGCGGTGAGCTCGCAGCCCCTCGGAGGGACCGGTTTGCAGTTAAAATACGGCGTTATTGAACAGCTCCCGTCCAGGGAGAGCTGTCACAGGGAGGGTATGGGACCAAGCAAGCCTTTAAGCTGTGGAGTGGAAGCTGAAGTTTTCTATAAAGGAAAAAAGCTTTGGATAACAGGTCTTTACAGGGCTACAAAATAGTGGATCATGGTGCAATAAGACAAAAAAACCCAGTAATCTTTATTTAGAGCAGCCTGGGCATTACAGATTATTTATCTCATATATATGATGTAGCATGGTAATTCAGTATTTAAGTGTAGAACTTGACTGAGGCTTCCATATACTTCTGTAATATGTTTGTGTATTGGTATTTGGGGCTGATATTTCACTGTTAGTGCAGAAGCTCTAAAGGAAACCTGTAATAATTTATAAGCTATTAAATATATCTTGTACTGGAAAAAATACCATGACTAGCATGATAAATCTTTATCTTGCTCTGAAACAAATTCTAAATATTGCAATATTCAGTGCATTTCTATTTTATCCATAATTCCCATTTGCAATTTGCATAAATTCTTAAAAACTTTTCAAAGTAGTTGATAAGCTTATAAATGATATTCTCATGTGGCTGCATGTGGTAACAGGAAGCTAGACTTACTGGTTGGGAAAAGTTTCTGCTGTTCTTGTTCTTTTAATCAAATCTTTTTCAATGATCTGTCTCTGGAGATTTTTGCTGTAGCACCAGTCTTCCAAGGGTATGGGGAAAATGCCTGCACCTGTTTTTTTCCTTTCATGTGTCACAGATATGGACAGCTGAACAGAAGTGTTTTAGTTGGAACATTGTACTGGCTTTAGTCTAGTGAGGGGCCTATAATTGCTTATTCATGCTATACATGAAAACTTTAATTACTGGCTGAATCAAACATCTGTAAGGAGCTAAAGACATTGTACTGGTTGAATATTTGGTATCTCTAGAACAGCTTGTGCAATCCCCAATGAAGTAGCAGAACACTCTAGGAATTGTGAGAAGTAGGTTTGGGTTAGTGGGGGAACTCTTTAATTTGTAGTTCCATAATCATAGACTCTTGTCTGTATTTCATACTGGCTGAATCAAACATCTGTAAGGAGCTAAAGACATTGTACTGGTTGAATATTTGGTATCTCTAGAACAGCTTTGTGCAATCCCCAATGAAGTAGCAGAACACTCTAGGAATTGTGAGAAGTAGGTTTGGGTTAGTGGGGGAACTCTTTAATTTGTAGTTCCATAATCATAGACT